ACGAAATTTTGCATGGTCGTACCTTATATCCCTGTTCAACATCTAAGATACTTTTCATTCCAAAAAATTAAAGAGCTTCCGTGGGATATTTAAAAAACTATAGTAACTTATACAGCTTAGTACACAACAAGTTATGCGCCTAATTTAGTAAAATTAGGCATGCTGATACCTTATATTGCCGGTCAAACAACCGGTTACTTTTCATCCCGGAAAAATGAACGGTTTCCGTGGGATAGATCTGTTTTTTTTTGTTTGTAACGTATTATGTGCACAATATAGACCCCAAAACAATAGTTATTAAAAAAATTGTCTGTTTGTCTGTATGTCTGTTAGTATGTTTGTACGGGCTAATCTCCGAAACTGTTGAACCGATTTAAATGAAATTTTGCATGGTGGTACCTTATATCCCCGGGCAACATCTTAGATACTTTTATCTTGGAAAATTAAATAGTTTCCGTGGGATAGTTAAAAAACTATAATAATTTATACAGCTTAGTACACAAAAACTACTGATTATATTTTAATTGTCGGTCAAACAACAGGTTACTTTTCATCCCGGAAAAATGAACGTTTCCCGTGGGAAGTTATAGATCTCTATCAGTGTTTTTCTAGAGGCGAACCCGAGCGAAGCGAGGGTGAGCCACTAGTACGAGTAATAAAATTGTATTTTTAATACAAAAACATGCCCGCATCTTTATTTTCGTGTTCCTATACATATGTGAGTTTGTGATTGAGTTTTTAGCCAATAAAACATTAAAAAAAACAAACTAAAAATTTGAATAAAAAAAAAACAAGAGTAAAAACTTTGTATCCAACCGGGATACGAATCCTGTGGTTGTCAAACTTGCGCCTTAGCCGCTTGATCACGATGCTTATGTCCTAGTGTGCGAATTAGCGATCATATTTTGCGTGGAATAATGCGATGTTCCGCATTATTCCACCGCATAAAAACTCGAAAACACGCGTTTTCTCAGACATAAAACTATTCTAGATCGATTTATCGCCTCCGAAACCCCCTGCATACTAAATTTCATGAAAATCATTGGAGCCGTTTCCGAGATTCATATTATCTATAATATGAATCTCGGAAACGGGGAAATATCTAAATATATATATATACAAGAATTGCTCGTTTAAATATATTAGATAGATTATAAAGGAGGATCATGTAGAAAAATTTACTAAAAATTTCGTAAAAAAACAAAGTTGCTATAAAATCACGTAGGATATTACGAAAGATTTATCTAAATGTAGAGCTAGTACAGTATATTAGGGTCAAAACTCATATCGTTAACATTGTGTACTCGACTTCGTTGAATACAAACCTAGCAACATGTCCACCTCCGCCTTCTTGTTACTCTGCCTCCAAGCTTGCTTGGTTCAGGTAAACATCGTGGCTTAAAACATTTATATATATTTTCCTTTTGCACTTATAATTTGGAAACTTTATTATTTAATTAATAATTTCATATTTCTAGAATGTATACAGCCAGTGGTGTGGCGCTGGACCAGCTTACGGTCCTGCCGCGTTTGCCGAGCCCTGCGGATGTGGCTACGGTGATTTTGGATATTTTGGTCCTGGCGCTTACGCTGGCTACGGCATGGGTCTCGCTGGTCCTGGTTTAGGCCCCTATGCTTTTCCTTCAGCTGCTGGCGCCTACGGAGGTGAGGGTATCGGTGATGTAGCAATCATCGGTCAGATGCCAGTTGGTGGTACCACTGTCATAGGTGGACAAGTGCCCATCCTCGGCGCTGTTGAGTTCGGAGGCGCTGTGCCAGCCGCTGGAGCTGTCACTATCGCTGGTAGCTGCGGCTGCGGCTGTAGAACTAACAGACCTTACTGTTACTAATCTACAAATAATAATTAATGACAATTATAATGATCATCAGAAATAAACGATTTATCACGACTATGTACGAGTATTTGTAGTTCTTTCTATTTTAATTATTATCGAGTGAAATAGTTTTAATAATTTTACAAATATAAAAAGTTACGTCTGTCTCTAAATGTAAAAAGTTACCTTATATAATGTTTAGGTGCTTAACTGCTGATTTTATTTTTTTTAAATTTGACACAAGACTAAACAAGTCTACAAAATATAATGTCCGGAAAAAAATAGCTTAGGAAATGATAAGATTTTTGCAGTATTCTGATTACATTATTTTATAGAAAACCACGATGCTTTTTTCATAATTTATAACCTGTATGACTTTTTTGAGGTAATATACTCGTATTCCAGTGAATCAATTGGCGTCCTTTAACTGGTAATTTAGTAGATTAAAATCTAATCAATGAAAAGGTTTGTTTCGTCTTTTTCTAAAAAGAACAACTTCTATTGATATATTTTACTAGAATATTTTATTTATTTATCACGCTTGTAAAAAAAATTCTAGATTTGACCACGAAAATGAAATATGGGCATATTTTGAATAACATATTCGTAATCGGCACGTTGAAATACATACTTACTCAAAATTTTTCGATCGATAGATATCACAGCAAGCCAGAAATTAAAAAAAAAAACTATTTTTTAACGTTTTGCATCCCTCCATTTCTCGGGGGTAGCGGGGAAATTTTACGGATTTTTGTTCCTTATATGGTTGCTAACGTTTTAAAAACATAAGACTTTAAAACTTCAGGTTTTAATTTTTCAACCGACTTCCTCAAAAAGGAGGAGGTTCTCAATTCGGCTGTATATGTTTTTTTTATGTTTGTTACCTCAGAACTCCGTCATTTATTAACCGATTTGGACAATTTTTATTTTGTTTGAAAGTGTATACTTCCAGATTGGTCCCATTTAAATTTAAAAAAAAAAATACCACCCTAAGGGTGGAAAAATAGCTAATGATGAATTTAACCTACTTCTAATTGTCATATTGACTTGAAACTTTGAAGTGTTTCTATTTCCGTTGATAGTGCAGTGGTTCGGTATCGTCGACCTGATCTGATGGTAAGGCCAGAAGGTGGACACGTGGAACTCTTCAACGACTAATAGTAGATACTTGGAATTTTTAGTGTTACTAATAAAAACGAATTTTAGTTTTTACAAACTTTCCTTGCTTTGTATGGGCTGGCACCGAAATCGAAAATATTTGATTCGGTATGTATAGTAAATGAAAACTACCAATCAGTTATTTTTAACTCTTTAATGCTTATTTTCAACCGACTTCAAAAAGGAGGAGGTTCTCAATTCGACTATTTTTTTTTATGTTTGTTACCTCAGAACTTCGTCATTTATTAACCGATTTGGACAATTTTTGTTTTGTTTGAAAGGGTATACTTCCAGATTGGTCCCATTTAAATTTCAAAAAAAAATACCACCCCCAAGGGTGGAAAAATAGCTAATGATGGATTTAACCTACTTCTAATTGTCATATTGACTTGAAACTTTGCAAGTGTTTCTATTTCCGTTGATAGTACAGTGGTTCGGTATTGTTGACCTGATCTGATGGTAAGGCCAGAAGGTGGATAGGTGGAACTCTTCAACGGCTAATTGTAGATACTTTGAGTTTGGGTTTATTTTGTTTGATTCGACAAGCCTAACACGTTAGAATTCTTACTTTTCTACTACTGTCTACACTAAAAAGGGAAAAATAAAAACTTTTTAACAAAAAAATAAAAACCGACTTCAAGCAAAAGCACTAAAAAGTAAAAAATAACTGATTGGTAGTTTTCATACCTAATCAAATATTTTCGAAGTCGGTGTGCTTTGGCTAAGTAATTAAAGCCTACCTATTAAATACATACCTAATCAAATATTTTCGAAATCGGTGCCAGCCCATACAAAGCAAAGCACACCGACTTCGAAAATATTTGATTAGGTATGTATAGTAAATGAAAACTACCAATCAGTTATTTTTTACTTTTTAGTGCTTTTGTTTGAAGCCGGTTTTTATTTTTTAGTTAAAAAGGGTTTTGTATAGCTCATGGCGATCGGAATATTTGTATAGCGTATTAAAGAAAAGCTGAATAACGAATAAAAACTTAAGTAGTTTTTAATTAGGTACTTAAAAAAATAATTTAGTATTCATCCTTCTTTTCTTAAACTTGTTAAAAAAGTATATTTGGCTTTTGGGGCTCATGACTCCTATGAGCCCCTCCCCCTGGATCCACGCTTGATATCAAATTTCAGATAAATCGAAGGTATAGGCTATTCGGAAGTACACCCGGATATCCAAGAGCTTTAAGTTAAATAGTCTAATTACAGTAAAATAAACATTATAAGGTGAAATGTCAGATGTTACACATCATATTCGACTACTGTACGGCTCACTCGTTTTGTTTTAATTTACTTTTATTAACATTATTAATAAATAATATACAGCACAGGAATGTAGGAATAATGTGAAAGTTTGTGAGTATGGATGTTTGTTACTCTTTCACGTCAGAACGGCTGAACGGATCTAGATGAAATTTGGCGCAGAGATAGATTATAATCTGAAATAAAACATAGGCTATTTTAAAAAAATAATAATAATAACTTTATTAAAAATGCACGGTTCCCGTGGGATAGATTTGTTTTTGTTTTCGAGAGGCGAATCCGAGCAAATCGAGGTTAAGCCGCTAGTATAATATAAATGCATAATTTATACGATGTCATAGTGTAAGTAATAAGTCCTTAGTCTAAGAAGTATTGAATAATTAATATGCGATTCGAATAACTGCTTTAGCGTCCAGAGTTTTACAGTTACAATTTACAACACTAATTGTTTTTAACTTTCTTTCTTTTCTTACTGTATGTTTCTCTATCTCTGTGTCTGTTCTTCAAGACTATTATTTAAAACGATTGAACACATTAGAGCAGTATTTCCAAGGGTGCAGCAGACTTGATAAAGTTGTAGTTTACTTCATATTTGACCAAAACAAAAATCTTACCCTGAAATAATTCTAAAACTATTTTTCTTATATGTAAAATAAAAAATAAATTAATAAATAACTCCTTGCTTAAGAAGATTTATTTGTTGCAATAGATCGAATGATATTAAATATCTCGCTGCTAGTAAATGAACGTGCCGCAGCCGCATCCAGCGCGAGCGTAAGGTCCAGCGCCATAGCCAAGAGCATCGAAAGCATATGGACCAGCACCACAAGTGGCACCGATATCTTCCCTCAACATGGCGACTTGTCCGTTACCCGCACCGAAAGCAACTGCACCGGCACCAGCAGTTGGCAGAGCACCTTCCAATGCTACAGTTCCCAAGAAAGGCAAAGCTCCATAGGCTGATAGACATCCTTCGTAAACATTTTCTGATACAAGGGAAACTCCACTTGCGGGAGTGAAGGAGGTGCTAGATGTTGGAAGAGCACCCCCATTGGAAGCGGCGGCAGCAGCAGGTCCGTATGGACCAGCAGCCAGTCCGTATGGACCAGCGGCAAGTCCGTATGGACCAAAACCATAGGGGCCAGCTAAACTTCCAGCGGTTGCACAAGAACCCCCGCAGGGAGTGGCAAACTCAAAGCGCGAGCCAGTACAGTATCCAGCAATTGACTAAACAAAATAAAAAGAAAAAATAATTAATCATTTTCTTGAATACATACATTATAATATTTAAATATTTAATAATTTTTACACATATAATGAATGAATTTACTCACTTGGATCATTAGCGCTTGAGCGCAGAACAAAAGGATAGACTTGACCATCATGTTTAATATTCCAATTTCGAATCAGAATGGTTGAATATTGAATATATTAGCTTTTATACTCCTTTAATGAGGAAAAAATATTTATCAGTTTGAATTACAAAAAATAATTGTAATTTGTATAACGACTGTAGGTACGTGACATTTACCTATGATATTATTTATAGGTTATCAGAAGAAATTAATGAATGGAAGAAATCTGAAACAACATTCGTAATATTATACGAGTAATAAAATTGTATTAATATTTAATGGAGGATGTTTGGAATATAATATCTATGCCTTATATACTTAATTGTATTTTTAATACAAAAACATGCCTGCACATTTATTTTCGTGTTCCTATACATATGTATGTCTACACTAAACGTGTTACTTAGGCGCCTTTTGAAACCGCTTAGTACCAGAAGATTTAAAGATATAGCTTAAATAAAAATATCTTTTTGGATTATTTTGCGAATTTATTTTGAGTTTTGGTTCCCGACGTTTCGAATTCTTTCCAGCAATCATGTTCACAGAAGAGACTACGGTATTAATTAAGTTTTTAAATCTTGAGGTATATTAGTCTGAGCTTAAACTTAAAACAACAACTTAAAGTTTTCTAGTAATATTAGGATATCAGAATCATGAGTCAGCAAATATCTTTCCTGTGTGTAAAATATAATTGCCTATATATTAAAAGATATATACGATAAGTAATTGTAATCGTACTTAAAAATTAAGCTAGATTAATAAAACGCAAAACGATGTACACATATATAATATTCAAAGCCTCTTCATAGCGCTCAATAATCAAATAAAGAATAATTATTACGGAGGATGATGTAGAAAAAATTTACTAAAAATTTCGTAAAAAAACAAAGTTGCTTTAAAATCACGTAGGATATTACGAAAGATTTATCTAAATGTAGAGCAAGTACAGTATATAAGGGTCAAAACTCATATCGTTAACATTGTGTACTCGACTTCGTTGAATACAAACCTAGCAACATGTCCACCTTCGCCTTCTTGTTACTCTGCCTCCAAGCTTGCTTGGTTCAGGTAAACATCGTGGCTTAAAACATTTATATATATTTTCCTTTTGCACTTATAATTTGGAAACTTTATTTAATTAGTAATTTCATATTTCTAGAATGTATACAGCCTGTGGTGTGGCGCTGGACCAGCTTACGGTCCTGCCGCGTTTGCCGAGCCCTGCGGATGTGGCTACGGTGATTTTGGATATTATGGTCCTGGCGCTTACGCTGGCTACGGCATGGGTCTTGCTGGTCCTGGTTTAGGCCCCTATGCTTTTCCTTCAGCTGCTGGCGCCTACGGAGGGGAGGGTATCGGTGATGTAGCAATCATCGGTCAGATGCCAGTTGGTGGTACCACTGTCATAGGTGGACAAGTGCCCATCCTCGGCGCTGTTGAGTTCGGAGGCGCTGTGCCAGCCGCTGGAGCTGTCACTATCGCTGGTAGCTGCGGCTGCGGCTGTAGAACTAACAGACCTTACTGTTACTAATCTACAAATAATAATTAATGACAATTATAATGATCATCAAAAATAAACGACTTATCACGACTATGTATTTGTTGTTGTTTCTATTTTTCAACCGACTTCAAAAAGGAGGAGGTTCTCAATTCGACTGTTTTTTATTATGTTTGTTACCTCAGAACTTCGTCATTTATTAACCGATTTGGACAATTTTTGTTTTGTTTGAAAGGGTATACTTCCAAATTGGTCCCATTTAAATTTCAAAAAAAATACCACCCCTAAGGGTGGAAAAATAGCTAATGATGAATTAACCTACTTCTAATTGTCATATTGACTTGAAACTTTGCAAGTGTTTCTATTTCCGTTGATAGTACAGTGGTTCGGTATTGTTGACCTGATCTGATGGTAAGGCCAGAAGGTGGATAGGTGGAAGGTGGATAGGAAGGAACTCTTCAACGGCTAATTGTAGATACTTTGAGTTTGGGTTTATTTTGTTTGATTCGACAAGCCTAATACGTTAGAATTCTTACTTTTCTACTACTGTCTACACTAAAAAGGGAAAAATAAAAACTTTTTAACAAAAAAATAAAAACCGACTTCAAGCAAAAGCACTAAAAAGTAAAAAATAACTGATTGGTAGTTTTCATACCTAATCAAATATTTTCGAAGTCGGTGTGCTTTGGCTAAGTAATTAAAGCCTACCTATTAAATACATACCTAATCAAAAATTTTCGAAATCGGTGCCAGCCCATACAAAGCAAAGCACACCGACTTCGAAAATATTTAATTAGGTATGTATAGTAAATGAAAACTACCAATCATTTATTTTTTACTTTTTAGTGCTTTTCTTTGAAGTCGGTTTTTATTTTTTTGTTAAAAAGTTTTTTTATTATTCTCAGGTCAGTCATTTGAAACAATTTTATAAACATTAAAAGTGGGTTTTGTCTCTAAGTTACTATATATAATGCTGATTTTATTAAAATTTGGTACAAAGTTGAATAAGTCTCCAAACCATAACGTCCGTAATACTTGATAAGATTTTCACGAAATGGGATATTCTGATTGTTATTTTATAGAAACCGCTTTATAAATTTTAATTTTTATTACATGTCATGAGTCATGCTTACCGAGTTTCTATACTAGTAGAAACATTTTGCATTTTACATGCCATCCTACTAATATGTATTATAAACATGAAAGTTTGTGACGATGATAAAATTGTAACTAAGCCGAATCTGTACATTAAATATTTTTTGAAAAATCTTATTGAAATAGACATTATTATCGATACAGAGGCCGAATCTATATTTTTTAGATTTTTTGTCTATCTGTCTGTCTGTCTGTTACCGCATCACAGAAAAACCACTGGAGGGATTTTGATGAAATTTGGTATGTTGTAGCTGGTTATCCGGGTCAATATAATAGATATTTTTTACTGCGGAAAATGTCTTATTTGTGAGAAAAATACAAAAACTGCAATGTAAGAGTATACTAATATGTAAAACGTAAGAATTTGGTTTTTGGTCATCTGAACGCAGGCGGAGCCGCGGGCAATGCTAGTCCTATATAATATTTATTTCTCGTGTTAAATTTCCGTTTCATCGAGTTTCAAATCACAACGATTCTAAAGAAGTTTCACTTCAAAAATTAGGCATGTTTGAGTCTGACATTCACACGAAACCGTAACTATAACATGAAACATAAGTTATATTTAAAGATTTTTACGTTACAAGAAAAATAAAATTTCCCCAACTACATTATTACGTTAGTTAATAAGGTTACAAATGAATTTGTATTTCATAGTATTGTACGAAGAATCAAATCTAACTTTGCGGGTGTAACTGAAAATATCCCGTATCTACGTCATGAAAAGAATTGAGGAAGGGTGTACGACACAATACACAAACATCATAGATATTCCACATTCCACAAGCTTATGCGGACTTAAATGATTTTCATCCATGGGTTTTTTCATCCATCCAATTCACAGGATGAAAAAACAAGTGTCAAGAGGAAACAAGAAGAACCACCCCGTCTCGTTAGCCATTACCTTTTTTTTTTTTTTTTTTAACGTTGGGAAATGCATTTACGCACGAGGTGTGGGACTCACCGGCAAAGCCAGTACTACCCACTAAAACCCAACAAAGCCTTCCCCCGTCTTAATGGGGCGTCGCAGGATCGCTTACGCATTCAACTACGACGCCCCGACGTCAGGTCTGCCAAAGCAGACCACAACAACCACGGGGTTGCTCCAAGGTCCACTCTGCTATCAGAGAAGTACCAGAAGCAACCCGCATGGTATACCGCCCTCCGAAGAGGGCCACCTCCCACCGCCCACCGAAGTGGGCCACCTCCCTGTGCGTTTCTTGGCTTCGCGCCCGGTTGGGTTGCCGGGCACTACTGAGCCCCCCCACCACGACAAGGTGAACGCACGTTGGGGGCATTACCATAGCCAAGGTATTGCCAGGTCGGTAAGCTTGATTTATATGTACAATATTACATAAACCTACATGATTTTTAGTTTGCGATTTGATTAAGCTGTAAGCGTCCTTACATAGCGCTTTTAGAGATATATGTTATGCGTTTAAGCTTAAATCTACCTATTACTAAACTATGCGCAAACATGAAATATATATAATGAAATATAATCATGAAATCTGAAATAAATTGCTTAAAAATTATATACGTAATCTTCTATATAAATAAAAATAAATGTTGCTAAGTGCAAAACTGGAGAACGGCTCGAACAATTCGGCTAATTTTTTTTCGTATCTTTCATTAAGGTACACGGAAAGTTTTAAATAAAGAGAAAAAATTCTAAAAATAGGGTAAATATAAAACAAAGTTGTGTTAGCTACACCATTTAAAACTTAAGAACGGCTGGACCGATTTTTATGATATTTGATTTTTTGGATTTCTCTTAATCCGGAATAGGATAATAAGTATGTATTAAAACATCAGAAAAATTAACGAAAAAAAATTAACATGTATATGCCTAACGCTGGCTTACAACTATTTTTGTATCTATTTAAAACGTACCTAGCGACGAACCCGAGCAAAGTGAGGGTGAGCCGCTAGTTTTGTTCATAAATATAAAATCTTTTCACCATGGATAATAAATGATTATCTGAAATAAATATCTCATTATTCTTAATAATAATCTATATTAATATTATAAGATATATAAAGAGGTAAAGTTTGTGAGTTTGTGAGGTTGTAGGTAATCTATAGGTGAGGGTAATCTCCGGATGTACTGAACCGATTTATTTGAAATTTGGTAAGAAGATAGTTTGAGACCCTGGGAGCGACATAGGATACTTTTTATCCTGGAAATCATCCATTAAGGGGGTGAAAATGGGGATGACAGTATGTATGGGGAATCAAGCTAGAGACGAACCTGAGTGAAGCGAGGGTGAGTCGCTAGTATGTGACATTTTTATATTGTATTAGAAGAGAAACAAAGTTATAAATCAAACTTATGAAATATCGAGAAGTGTTTTATATTATATTTTGAGAAACTTTATATAAAATTGTAACGTTTTCTGTCAAGGCAGCTAATCTCATTGAGATTCAGAGTAAGAGATATAATAAAGTGCACATGTGTGCACAAGCACAGGTGCAGTCTCTATTTCTTTTTGTTTAATTTAGCATGACTGATAGATACTTTAGATACTAGGCACAGAAGTATAACACCGAGTACTTGCGAACTCGGAACTGCTACTCAGAATTCATTTGTTACAAGTACTCAATATCTTAACCTAACTCGGAAATCGAACCCAGGACCAACGGATCTGCAGCTTACGCCATGCCACGATAATTGATTTGATTCAGATGTCCTTAAATTAAATGATAAGGCTCTAAGAAATTATTTAGGGCAATTTATATGAAAATCTATTAAGCAGTTTTTATAAAACAACTTAATCAGAATACCGTAAAAATCATATCATTCTCTAAGCAATTTTTTCCAGACATTATATTTTGTAGACTTATTCAATTTCGTGTCAAATTTTAATAAAATAAAACCAGCAGCTGAGCACCTAAGCATAATAAAAGGTAACTTTTTACATTTAGAGACAGACGTAGCTTTTTATATTTGTAAAATTGTTAAAAATGTTTCACTTGACAATAATTTTCATATTATCACTACCCATTCACAACAAACTCACACACACACACACACACATACATACGCACACATTAACACACTCACACACTCATCACAGACACTGTATATATATAAAATAATAATAATAATAATATTAATAATCTGTACATATAATAAAATTCTAAGTCGAATCTGTACATTAAACATATATTGGAAAGTCTTATTGAAATAGACATTATTATCGATACAGACGCCAAACCTATAGTTTTTAGAATTTTTGTCTGTCAGTCTGTCTGTCTGTTACCGCATCATAGAAAATTTTTGATGAAATTTGGTATGAGGATAGCTGGTTATCCGGGTCAATATATAGTATACTTTTTACCGCAGGAAAATATCTCATTTCTGAGAAAAAATACAAAAACTGCTGTGTAAGAGTACCTATACTAATATGTACAATTTAAGAATTTGGTTTTTGGTCATCTGAACGCGGGCGGAGCCGCGGGCAATGCTAGTACATATATATAGCACCAAACAATAGCTCAAAATGGCACACTCGTAAATTAAACGGATAATTTAATTCTGACAATATTTGGGGGATTGGCACTGTATGCAGCCTGTATTAACAGGTCTCCTAGTACGGCAACAGAGACAACCGTATTATTTGTATTGATAGTCTAAATTGTTTGTTTCAAAATGTACTGTTCAATATGCTTCTCGACTACAATATGTATGTATTTTTGTGAAATTAAAGTATTATTATTAATTAAAATAGAAAGAACTACAAATACATAGTCGTGATAAGTCGTTTATTTTTGATCATCATTATAATTGTCATTAATTATTATTTGTAGATTAGTAACAGTAAGGTCTGTTAGTTCTACAGTCGCAGCCGCAGCTACCAGCGATAGTGACAGCTCCAGCGGCTGGCACAGCGCCTCCGAACTCAACAGCGCCGAGGATGGGCACTTGTCCACCTATGACAGTGGTACCACCAACTGGCATCTGACCGATGATTGCTACATCACCGATACCCTCACCTCCGTAGGCGCCAGCAGCTGAAGGATAAGCATAGGGGCCTAAACCAGGAGCAGCGAGACCCATGCCGTAGCCAGCGTAAGCACCAGGACCATAATATCCAAAATCACCGTAGCCACATCCGCAGGGCTCGGCAAACGCGGCAGGGCCGTAAGCTGGTCCAGCGCCACACCACAGGCTGTATACATTCTAGAAATATGAAATTACTAATTAAATAATAATGTTTCCAAATTATAAGTGCAAAAGAAAAATACATATAAATGTTTTAAATCACGATGTTTACCTGAACCAAGCAAGCTTGGAGGCAGAGTACCAAGAAGGCGAAGGTGGACATGTTGCTATATTTGTATTCAACGAAGTCGAGTACCTACACAATGTTAACGATATGAGTTTTGACCCTTATATACTGTTCTTGCTCTTCATTTAGATAACTCTTTCGAAATATCCTACGTGATTTTATACTTTGTTTAATGAAATGTTTTGTACATTTGTACTATATTTTTATAGTAGGTATATTTAATTTATAATTGAGATAATTGCTCCTTAATGAATCAAATTAAAAAAAAAACTTTTAAAGCCAAACATCAATAAAAAAAATAAAAAAGGGGAAAAAAGGATTGGCATTACGATTATTTTAACAGAAACTTATAAATACATAGTCAATTAAAAATTTGATTAAAAGTTTATAAAAAGTGTCGATAACCTACAGAAGTTTCACTACTTGCACGTCTTTAATCATTATTTTTTTAACTTGTTATGATGTCAAATAGCAGAGAGGAGGCTTTGAGAATCATCTTTTTAACTTCCTTTTAGAACCATATTTTCCAATCTTTCTGGTGATTTTTTTTAAGTCCACTGACGTAAAATTGAGATAGATATTGCAATTTTTTTAAGCGAACGTAGCAGCATATTAATGCGTACCTATTTATGATTTTTTATAAATTAAATATTGTAAATGAGTAATTTTTTTACTATTTTTTTAAACAAATTACCTAGTATATTAAAACATAACAAATGTTTGAAGCTACAAAACTGTCGATGTGCCATTATTTAATTGAAATTAATTATATTTTTAAACTGTTATATATCTGATTATATTTTTCATTTACACTTTTTTCATTTCTCCTAATGACCTATGAACTAATCTTGGAGTGGTCACGTACATACATTGAGCGATTACAAAAATAATAATTTACGCAACATTAAACATTTAAAAAGGCATTGTTCTAATTGAAAGTATATAAAGGGTGTATTAAAGAAATTTGAGCATTCTAAACTTAAACTCAAATAGTGAACATGGCAGTCAAGTCTATCCTTCTGTTCTGCGCTCAAGCGCTCATGATCCAAGTAAGTCAAATTTATATTATACTTAGATATCAAAAATTAATAAATACTTAAATATTATAAGGTACGTGTAACGTAATACATACATAATAACACATAAGCTTACTTATTTATTTTTATTTTGTTTAGTCAATTGCTGGATACTGTACTGGCTCGCGCTTTGAGTATGCCACTCCCTGCGCGGGTTCTTGTGCAGCTGCTGGACCTTTAGCTGGCCCATACGGACTTGGCACTGGTCCATACGGACTGGCTGCTGGTCCTTACGGACCTGCTGCTGCGGCCGCTTCCAATGGGGGTGCTCTTCCAACATCTAGCACCTCCTTCACTCCCGCAAGTGGAGTTTCCCTTGTATCAGAAAATGTTTACGAAGGATGTCTATCAGCCTATGGAGCTTTGCCTTTCTTGGGAACTGTAGCATTGGAAGGTGCTCTGCCAACTGCTGGTGCCGGTGCAGTTGCTTTCGGTGCGGGTAACGGACAAGTCGCCATGTTGAGGGAAGATATCGGTGCCACTTGTGGTGCTGGTCCATATGCTTTCGATGCTCTTGGCTATCGCGCTGGACCTTATGCTCGCGCTGGATGCGGCTGCGGCGCGCTCATTTAAGAGCAGTGACATATTTAGTCTCATTCGATCTATTGCAAAAAATAAATTTTCTTAAGCAATGAATTATTTAATTTTATTTTATTAATTTTTCACATATAAATTTTATTTTCGTCTACATGTATCCGAGTGAAGATTTTTTTCTTTGGTCAAATGAAATAAACCACAACTTTCCTGCCAAGTATCCTGAGTTGCGCTCTTGGAAATTCTGCTCTAATGCGTTCAATGGTTTTAAATAATAGTCTTGGAGAACAGAGAGAGACATCAGATAAACAGACAGTAAAAAAGTTAAAAACAATTAGTGTTGTAACTTAGAACTGTAGAACTCTGGACTCTAAAATAGTTATTCCAATTGCATAATAATTATTCAGTATCCTGAGGGAGGTATGAGTTTATTACTTTTTTTAAATGTAAATACCAATTACTTTCCGTGCATTTAACATAAAAAAAATACAGAGTTCCATACAAACTTTTATCCCCTATTTTACCCCTATAGGGGATGATTTCCGAAAAATTCTAAAACATCTTTTTATTTCACTGTATTGAAGAGCGTCAATGCCAAGTAGTTCTGATCATAATTTTTTTTTCCCATATAGCCTTCATCACCCTCTTTTACCAATTTAAGGGAGGAAATTCAAAAGAACTTAATATAGGTATCTCCTTATTTTTTTTATTTTAAAGTTGAATATTACTTTTTCGTTCATTTCACATTAAAAATGACAGACTTTCATACAAATGTTTATCCATTATTTTACCCATTTAGAGCCTATTAGTGGAAGTTTACGTTATAAAACGCATCAACTGCCAAAATTTCAACTTTTTAACCTCTGTGGCTTAGGCTCTGCGTTGACGAATTAGTCAGGACAAGTAATTTTATATATACAACTAGCATTGCCCGTGGCTCCGCCCGCGTTTGAATGACCAAAATCAAATTCTTAGGTTTTACATATTAGTATACTCATACAATGCAGTTTTTGTATTTTTTCTCAGAAATTAGGTATTTTCCCAGGATAGCACAAAACTTCTAAAAACTAGATTCGGCGTCTGTATCAATAATAATGTCTATTTCAATAAGATTTTTCAATAAATATTTTATGTACAGATTCGGCTTAGTTAGAATTTTATTATAAGTATAGATATAGAACTTTAGTAAAGGAAGTAGTAAATGAAATATGAGCACGATTTTTAATAACTTTATTCATATTCTTAATATATCTAATCATAATTTACACAAACATAACGAAATCTAATGTCAACTTTCAAATATCATAGATATCAATGAATAATGGTGCTGTAAAAAATACTTACTAATTTACTTAAAATGTAAAAAAAATGTCTATTATCTTGATAAATACTTTATACGCGGTTTTCTTTAATTAACTTAATACAATTTCCCATGGGCGGCGGCAGATTTTTTTCCAGGGGGGTGCATCTGCTTCTTGATTCTTCACATTAAACTACTAACTAATCTTTAAATTAAACTTATAAATTTTATACATAAATGTAATATTTTTTCGCAGATATCTAAATTTAAACAGGGATTTTACTTTATAATTTTATTTCTTTAACTTTTTTAATATATATTTTACATTAAGACAAGAGGTGACAAGTGCACCCCCTTGCAAATCCCTCCAAGCGCCCATGCAACTTCCTATAACTATCTAATACTATCAATCGAAACGGATATATCACACTCATATTTTATGTAATGTTTTTATAATGTTTTTAATAAAATAAAAATTAAAACACTAAAATTACGTGTAAATAATAAGCATATTTGTTACTTATGGAGGTAAAATAAAAAAATACACGGTAGAACAAAGAGACAGTGATTTGTAAAAACAATGGAATGGTTAATTTAATTGTACATATAAGATTTTTGTAGGTATCTAAATTAAATATATACAAATATAAAAATTATATACAGTGTCTTTTTTAATTTACTGAAAACCTTTTGGGAATATACTATTTACACCATAACAACAACATCTGTTACAAGAAAAAATTATATTTCCTAAATTTTTATTTTCATACCAAAATAAAAATATTTTTGTTGCACCTTCTAAACGGTCTGGCCAAGTTTAAATGAGTAAGGGCCACTTCCTACACCCCTCCACCCCTCCCCCTCTACCGGTCACACGTTTTCTTTTGATAATTGCTGGACTATTACCGTTTAGTAGGAGCAAAAAAAAATACTTTTATTTTTGTAAAATTTAAGAAAATTTTTTTTACCATGTTGTTGTTATGATGTAAACAGTATATTCTTAAAAGGTTTTCAGTAAATTAAAAATGACCCTGTATATTTAATAACGTTGTCATGAATATTTTATATAAAAAATCATTAAAATAGCATAACATATTCAGATGGCATAGTGTAGAAGGTAAATGCAATTTTTTTATTCATACAGCATTTTGTAAATAATAGTAGAAAAAGAAAAAAATATATGCTGTATTTATAAAAATGTAAGAATCAAATAAATATTAAATAAAAATACCATAGAAATCTTGTATTTTTAATATGACTTTGAAATATATTTAATAATCCAATGGTAGAGTCATCGATCACTGATAAAGAACTAGTTACACAATCAGCGACAAAAAATGCGCTCACCGAATGAGCGCGCACTTAACATTTGGGTACGCTTTTAATTTTGTAGCATTCAAATGCTTCGACGGTAAACATTCCTTGCTTAAAAATTGTAAAAATCACACATCTAGGACGCTAAAAAAGGATGGAGTTTCATATTTTCATTTGGCAAGTTGTTATTATATAATTGTTATCACTGTATTGTACATACTGATATTTTGTCAAGACATCTTCGTAAAAACAGATTTTAAATTAAGTCGTAATAAACAGCAAAAGCAAAGGCAACGGTGGCCTAGTGGTAGCGCGCTCGCATGGGAAACCGAGTGAAGCGAGTTCAAATCCCGAGTCTCGCACCTCTGATATTTTCATGTGCCAATCATTTCCAACATGATTACCACTTAAAAGTAAAAACTAGGAAAACATCTAGCAATTTTCTAAAGACATGTAGTCCGCCAACCCACACGTTGCCGGCGTGATGGACTATGGCCTGATCTTCCTCTAATTGAAGAGAGGCTCGCCCAGCAGTGGGACGACCGATCTCGATAGAGGGCTGAATAGTGAATACATACAAACAGCATGAGTTAAAAAGCATCTCAATTGTAAAGACTCCCACAATAAAATTTTGACTTTAAGACATGCGTGTAAGGTTGAATTTGTTTTCATGTATGTTAATCAGTGAGTGTCGGTAATAAAAAAATATTGCTTGTGGTACATAGCTTTGTGAAAACAACATGAAGCATTTCATTTAAAGTTGAATTTTCATTATTGAATATTTATTTCAACTAGAATTACCTAAACACAATTGGGGACAGTTTTAAGAGAACCTTTGCATGAGATTGTGTATCTAGTTTTTATTAGTGATCTATAGTTAGAGCATGAAAGCGTTATACTTGTGAGTTTTGAAGTAATTTTATCGTTTCATAACTTATACTTTAAATACTCCATTTATATATGATTTTTTTCTTTATTTAATAACCCTGAAGACGTAATCGGTGGAATAAAGGTATTTAATTAGTAGTTAATTTTAGAAATTTTATATGAAAATATTCTTAAGACAGTGAATAATAAAATATATATAAAACAAAATTTTCATACGAGAATATTTTAAATAATATCAGGTAAATATTTTTCAAATATTCGTTAAAAGTTCTTCAAAAAACGTTTTAGATGGCAACATTTGAATTCAAGCCAGCTCACGGCTTTATTAATGTACTAACTCTAACTACTTCATATAATAACACAAATAATAGTAATTTTATTTATTTTCTACGAAAACAAATGCGATACGATAAATAAGAACAAAACCTTTTTTTAAAAGGAGAGGATATTATTTGATAAAATTATTATAGCATCTTATATCCAATGTAATTTTTCTTAACGCTATGTATAATGGACATTTTTTGGAGACGAAAGCTAAAATAAGATGAAGGTCGTTCGGTCCCACGAGAAGAGAAAGGAGTTTATAGTGCAAGCATATTCTATAAGAAATAACAAAATTCAATACAGTAAAATAGCAGAAACGTTATAAAAATATAAATATTGCTGCTCGACTAAAGTAATTTAAAACATAATAATTATTACCAAAGTAATAAAAAAAAAATGAACCAGACTAAAATTTCAAAATGGCTGCAGGCTATATGTTTTTATTTAATAAGTATTGCACTAAAAATAAAAAAGTGCCTAAGCTTAGTGTTTTAATATACTATATTATGATGTATATATTATATGCTTCCTTTATCTATGCGATTAACTTACTATAGACAGTATTATGTTTTTTTTTATATCTTCAACTACCTTAATCAGCATGTACAGATAATTAATTAATACAATATTCTTTATACATACAATAAAGTCCGGTTTAGTATTTATAATCTGTTTTTTGAAGTGAAAATTTCTTTAGGCAGGTTTGGATGGAGAGTAAATTCTTGTTGATTCGAGTCATCATCGACATGGTCACGTGACGTGTTAACGCTAACACTCGACAGTGCCGATAGATGTCAAAACCAGATAAATGTAAACAGTTTTAATTTACAAATTTTAATTTAAGATCAAACTATTAATTTGAATATCCAAAAATAACAACTGTTTATTTATAGTTTTAAGTTTTCACTTCCGTCGGCAGTTCTCATGACTGCCTTGTTTTTTTATTTATTTCGCCAATTTTATGTTTATTTTTAATGGTATAGATCAGGACTTGTGCTATCAGTTATAGGGCTGCCACTATGTCAAATGATATATAAACAAACGTATAGTAACAATATAATTTTAAATTATAAATTGTTTAATTATATATACACATTATTATAATATATATTGTAGTAATAGTATACCATCGATCAAAAAAGTACTAGATACACAATCAGCGACAAAAAATGTCCTCTCCGAATGAGCGCTCATTTGAACATTTGAGCGCGCTTTTAATTTTTTTGTGAAAACAACTTTAAGCTTTGCGTTTAAGGTTCAATTTACATTGTTGTATATTTATTTCAACTAAAATAATTACTTAAACACAATTGGTGACAGTTTTAAGAGAACTTTTGCATGGTATTGTGTATCTAGTACTTTTTTTTATAATAAAACACATAATAAAGACAGTTTTAGAATTATATCTGTACAATGTTTCATTTTAACTTGGCAACCCATTTCTATTTTTTTTCTAAACATCAATTTAGATAAAACAGATTACGAATGATATATGTATATATATCCTTTGAATATTTTAAAAATACCCAAAAATAATAAATTTCTTTTAACACTGAGTTCACATTTATTATAAATATATAGTATTTAAAATCATAAGACAACTAACGAAGTGTAAAACGTTGTTTAAACAGCGAGTTAATATTTACTCGATAATTGTACAATATTGACATTTATTTATTTAATAATCGATTTTTAATTAATCGATTTTTTTATAATTCGAATTATATATCATTCGCAATCGCCATTGACAGTCGGCTATTTATAATATGCCGATGTGAAATAATTCAACCATCAGGGTTTCTGTTCAACCGGTTCGTCAATTTCAAACTCCTTTTCCCAACTCTCATCAGAATTAGCGCTCGCATCATCTTTCACTTCTTTATCGCCAAAATAATCTTCGACCATATTGTTTCCACACTCGTCTGTCTTTTTGACTGGCGATTTGACATTTTTGTTAATTTTATCTAATTTATTGATCTTGTCTTTATTATTTGCTTTCGCGTTATTGTTTGTAACGTCGCGGGGTTTTGTTTTTTTGGAAGCCATCTCCTTCTCATACTCTTCTAGAAGGAGTATCTGTTGTTCTTCTGTCAGTTCTACGTCATGTGCGAAATCTTCTGCGTGGAAAGTGTAAATCAATCTTAACAGTATATATAGCATTGCGATATTATCCTAAGTACTTATATTTATTGGTTATACTAATAAATACATATAATATTTATTTGATGAAATGGAAACAAGATTGTTACTTAATTCATTTTATATTTTATAAATACAACCCAATTTTGTATATTTTATACATTTTAAAACCCAATCACCACATCTAATATTATGACCAATACAAAACTAACGAAAGTATGCCATTTATCAAATATTTTTGTCTAACATTGAATCATATGTAAGACTATAAGGTGAAATATTTTTTTTATAATCTTTATTGCTTTTGAATTACATCGATATTTTTTAATGTAATTTTTTTTCAATTAAAAAAAAAATACTAAAAAGTGCAAATATAGGTGGGAAATTCAAAGTAGTTGAAACGCACGCCATTGGTCAGACCGAATATGACGTCAAAGTACTATCATAACGGAGCGATTAGCAGTTTCGACGCTACAAATTGAGTCGTCATTTACCGTACCATACTGTGACGTCACGCCAAGCGCCCGAAATCGCGGGCGCTTAAAATATCTATATCGATAAGATATCTTAATTTTTTTTTATACTAAATTTTAGTTTTTTGGAGCTGGATATTTTTTTACAATTATATAACGCTGTTAGCTGTTGTATTAAAATAAAAAAAAAACCGCATATTCCCTATTGCTCTAAGCCACTGGACCAATATCTTCGTCCAAGGTAATTAAAGATTAATGCCTATTTTGGCTTTTATGTTTCATAGCTTATATAAGCCATCTAAAATAAGTTTCGATGAAAACAGTCAATAATATTGCACGTTCATCATTAAATGGACATTCTCCTTTCAAGTCTCGTATCGTGATAGCAACGGCAAAGGCTTTTCTTATTTTATTTAAATTATAGTACATATCAAAAAGTTTTCAATAATGTATCATATCATGGGTGTTTCTATTTATAATATGTATGTATTTAAAGTTATATATGTGAAGTGTATCAACTATCTAGTATCCATATAATAAGCCTCATAGCTTACCATGGAATTAGATGGTGTTGTGTGTTAATGTCCCAACATATTAATTTATTTATTAATGTTGTCATATTTAATTTATTTCGTTCAATTTCTCTCAGCAAAGTTACATTGGACAAAGAAATTTGACAAATGGCATATCATCTTATGATATTTTTCATATACACATCACTTACCATCTTCCCAGCTCACATTGTCCATGTCTTTTTCAATGGTTGGTTCTACTACAATGCCGGAGAGCACCTTCTTTGGGCTTCTGCAAATAAATTCCATTAATAATAAAGAGAAAGGTTTGAATGGGTGTTTGTTACTCAACATTATAAAAACAAAATAAACCGAATCGGTCCCAGCTGTTTTCAAGTGATGTGTTTACCAACCAACAAAGAGCATATCAATTTTATTTATATAGACTAGCCGTTCTCACTTCGCTCGTATGCTTCCCTAGGTACCTAACAAGCCTACGCGTTACTCTATAGTCTGTTTTTTAATTCAGAGACAAAACTGGAATTAAGTGGGTTGCCAGTTTTTTGCAATTCTTAAATAGTGGTGTGCCACTATCGAAAATTAACGTTAATTAAATCAAGTATAGTTTTTTCATAATAAGTTATCTTGAAATAATGTGTAGGTACTTATTTAAAACGTAATAATACAAAATTAATAATGTAATTTTTTTAATAATGTGAATTTTAATGATGCTTAATAATTTAAAATTAATAAATATGACATTTAAATTAATAACTATGATATTTAATGATCTAAAATTAATAATGTGTATTTTAACGATGCACTTTGGAATATAAAACTTTTTAGCGAATCGTCTAATAAAGATAAAAAGTTACGATTCAACAAACCGGTATCGTAGGTACACTGCACAATAGAGCTGGCGTTATTTGTAAATTTGACATTTGCATGTGTCAATTTAGTCTCTGAGATTAAAAAACACTATAGGTCTATCTCTCTCTCTCTCTCTCACCCACACACTCACACACAAACTCGCGCGCACGAACGCACACACGCATACACACATCCACAAAGACTATAAGAACAAAAGCCTTACACGTCGACGGGCGGCGCGGGGGGCGCGGGGGGTGCGGGCGGGGAGGGCGGGGCCTGCGGCGGCAGGTGCGCGAGCACGGGGTCGCGCGAGGGCTCGTCGGGCAGCCGCCGCGCCGCCGCCGCCAGCCGGTCCTGCAGCAGCGCCACGCGGAACAGGTACCTGGGGCGGATCATACAGTTTATATACATATATATGTTATGATTTTATACACTATAAAATATCGAATTTAAGTTATATCACACTTTATATATGTTCGAGTCGCAACATATAACAATATTAGGGGAATCACATTCACAGTCTCCCAAGATAAAACTTTGGGCTGTACACCATATACCTATAGACTACTAATAAAAAAAGTGTGTGTGTACTTACATATGTAAGCACGTAAGAAGTTATACTTTTTTGGCGTAACAGAACAGAAATAGCTAAAGATTTCATCCCGTATGTCATAACTCTCTGTTTGTAAAAGGAATGATAAATTAATAAAATAATTAAATAAACCATATTATGCATATTACAATCATATATTTATAGAATATACTTTAGGGAAAAATATAATATTAAACAGTTATCAGTTAACTTCATCATGTCGCTTTTAGGCTGTCGGTGTGCGCGCGCATGATAAAAATTTTACTCTCACATTTTTTTCCAAACTTGTCCCAATAGAAGTATATAAGTACTTCAAAAATGAAAACAAGCAGCCAACCTGTACACCATAATATGTCTATAAACTCTTAATTAAAAAAAAAAACAACAACAATCAGCCCACCTCTCCCAGAACTCCTCGTGCGACACGGCGTCCGGCACCAGCCTGTCGTACTGCGCGCGCAGCACGGGCGCGGCGGCGAGGCGGCGCGCCGCCGACGCCAGCGGCAGCACCGTCTCCGGGTCCTCGAGGCTGGCACGCCACGCCTCAAACTCGGGGCTGTACGCCGGCACTATGTACGTCGCGTCCACGCGCTGGAGGGCTTCTAGTTCTTTCTGTGGAAGGAATTTTGAGTTTAAATGAGCATGTGTGAAAGTTTGTTCGTGTGTGTATATGTTTGTTTGTACGGTTAGACGGATTTGGATGTAATTTAATAGACTATGACAGTAAGAATAATTGTAAGAATAACATTGCTAGTGTTAGGCATCAAAAGTGCACCCAAACGAAATTAATGTGTCGTATAAAATACATATTATGTACATACGTATATGTACATATATTCTGAAATTATTATGTCGGATCAACTCTGGGTGGATGAAATGGCGACAGGTCACAGCGATAACTTGCGATAAGCGGATACCCCTTAAGTTGAAGGGTAAGATCTATAAATCCGTAATAAGACCTGTCGTTATGTATGGATCGCAATGCTGGGCTACAAAGAAGACTGATGAAAGAAGATTGCATGCTGCTGAGATGAGAATGTTAAGGTGGATGTGTGGAGTGACGAGGATGGATAAAATAAGGAATGAGTACATAAGAGGAAGCTTAAAAGTAGCACCAGTGACAGAGAAGTTGAAAGGGAATCGTCTTAGTTGGTATGGGCATGTGAAGCGGAGGGATGAAACGCATGTGACGAGAAGAGTGATGGAAATGAATGTAGATGGATGGAAAGGTAGAGGAAGACCGAAGAAAAGATGGATAGATTGTGTGAGACAAGACATGAAAGAGAAAGGGGTGAATGATGAGATGACGAGTAATAGGGGAGAATGGAAGAGGAAGACTTACTGCGCCGACCCCAAGTGACTTGCGAAATGGGCAGGAAGAAGAAGATTCTGAAATTATTATTGTATGGTGTGTTGTGGCTCGCATGTACGGCTGCACACCCGGAGGTCCTGGGTTCGAGTCCCGGGTCGGGCTAAGTTTAGTTATTGAGTCTTTCTGTATAGTAAGTCTCAGTAACAGCCCGGAGTTGGGAGGTTGGCGGTGTTTCACCCCCGTGCCTCGGAGAGCACGTAAAGCCGTCGGTCCTGCGCTTTAACTCTCACCGGTCGTGTCGACTGGTCGTCCCACCGGAGTATGAGAGTGATAGGAATAGAGAGTTCACTTGTATCTGTGCGTACACTTGTGCACTATAATATCTCCTGCACAGTTGGCTAATCTCAAAGAGATTAGCCGCCGTAGCCGGAATCGGCTAGGAGAACATCATCATCATTGTAATTCATCATTTCACATGACGCGTCATTTATTCCATCATATATTATTTATTATACTAAAAGTAAGTTCAGTTCGCATTCGGCTAGCAAGAAGTCCGGGCGCGCTCATATCATTTAAATATATCAGTTTATTTCTAATAAATCAGTTTTAAAACATTCTCAGTAGATTTTATCAATTTACATCTATCAACCACCCCCACAATAATTATAATTAAAATAATAAGAAAAATACATTGATTTTATTAACGAAACTATTTTTCTTTATGTTACTCCATATTCTGTTAGGTTTTTATTAATTATAAATTCTAATACTAACATAGATGTTTCACATCTGCCGGGCGTCCTGTGAAGGCAAAATTTTTTTTTAAATTTATTATTACCTTATAGGTGGACAGCATAGTGGTATCACCAGAGGATAGTATCACTTCAGTATCATCTTCATCGTCTGGTTCAGGGTTCAAAACTGTGCTGACTTGACCTGAATAGTGTACTTTCATGTTATTAATGGTTTTGTACTTAAAACAATATTAAACTAAAATAAATATAAATTTAATAAGCATATTTGACGACATGTATGGCTCAATTTGTAGGGTTCCTACTTGCTGTGCCAGCAGTCGCGGGTTCGAGTCCCGCTGGCGACATACATTTGTGTGATGAGCACGAATGTTTGTACTCCAGTCATGGGTGTTTATATTTATAATATATATGTATTTAAAAAGTTATATATGTGTAGTGTATCAACTATCTGGTATCCATAACACAAGCCTCGTAGCTTACCATGGAATTTATTTTTTATATGATTTTAATTCTGTTTATAGTTATGATTTATAAAAGGGAAATGAAAATATACATACCAATAAAGGTGCTCAAACTTTTCTTCATAACATTAGCAGGTGATTCAGGAGAATCCAACTGTAATAAGAATAATGAAATATGAGGAATGAGTTTTTTTTAATATTAATTTCATATACATATATTATGTACATAATATGTATATTATTTAAAATTAATAATTAATTTAAATGTTCGATTTGAATGATTCTTTTTTTTTACTGATCTTTGAAAGCATTCAAGAATTGACAAATATAGTCATTTTCTACTCAACTTTAAAGGTTCAAATTCTTGTTTAATAACATTTCATGATATGAGTAATTGAATGTTGAATTAAAATAGTTTTTAAATTTTATTTCGATGTAAGTACATAATGGATTAATTTATATATATATATCTAAAAGTAATTAGTAATAAAAACACTAAGTACTAACCTTGAGAGTTTTACCAATAACATTAGATGTTGAACTGAACACATGACTGGCTTCACTTTTAACGGCTGTACCTATTTCGTCTAGATCTTTCTTAACCATAGTATACACTTCAGCTGACTGTAACAGAATTGTTAATATTTTAGAACCATATACAAATTCATGTTCTAATACAAGAAACAGGTCCTTTTAATTTCAGTGGCATGCAAAAAATTTGTTTTTTTCTAATTTATTTAAACCATACCTTATTAAAAACTGTTTATTTTATAAATATGTGCAAAAAACTAAAAAATCTGTGATTTTAACAAAATTGTTGACAGTGATAAACCATTCATAAAAATAAAAGCGCCATCTGTTACTATATACACTACAAACCCATCATCTGATTACCGATATTTCAATAATCAGAGAAATGACACAAATATTATTTACGGATGCATTATTTCTACAATTATCATAACAAATCAATATGTATAATGTCAAAATAAATAAAATAGTTTCTATAATATAAAAGTTAAAACTGCAAAACAAAGTAATATATTATATAATTACATTGTATTGATTAATGAGCAATGTAAAAATATATTTATTTCAGTTTGCATGTTTGTATATTAGTAAGAATAATTTTCATTTACCTTGCTCTTAGCGGATGATAACCATGAGTCCCACCAATTACCAGAGGGTCTCTCTTCTTGCTTAGGAGTGTTGCCACCATCATTTGGATTTATATCACACCTTTAAATTAATTCACAATAATATTTAAATGCTTAAAAGATAGGCTTTTTAATATGTAAAGGGCTGACTGCTTTTAAAATAATTTGTAAAACTAACTTTTTTAACTTTACTTAAATGAATGCTCTTGTTTTAATTTAAACAATGAATTGCCAAAGATTTAAGTAAATTAAAGATATTATTTTGCAGTAGCAGTTGATTATCTTGATTTACACTACACAAAAAGAGAACTGGCAAATCACATTTTTCAGAAAGCTACTTCACATAATATGACATGGACTCAAATCGAATAAAAAACTACCTTAATATGAGTTCTTAATTTATCAGTATTTGTTTTTAAAACAAATACAGAAAAGATAGTTTAAAACACTGTATAATAATGAATGTTTAAGTAGCAAGATTACATTATGAAGTATCAGATTTAACCATTAAAATTATTTATTTACATTGTTGTTAATAATGATTGGTGTTTGCGTGTTGTTTTTACTTCCTTAAATAAATGAGAAAAAAATCGAACTCATGACCCACTTTACATATAAACTCATGTGAGACTTGATAAGATTAGTATTGTTTGTTAATAGATTAAAGCAGAGTATAATTTGCTACTTATAGATGTTAATGTTTAATTTGCAAAGATGTAGATTAGAGGTCACGCTATAAAAAATTGTTTTTCTCTTTAACAATGAGAAATTAAGCGGAACAAAATAAATTTACATGCACAATTCTCGACACAATAAACAAGTTCTTGGGGTTCACCTTTGAAGGTGTAAGAACAAGAATTATTAGGAAATGTTAAATTTACTTCACACAAACTTTTACTTCATAAAAAATGAGAGTAATGTTTATTTATATAATATCTTACAAGTACGCTGTGGTAATAATAACAAATAAAAAGTTTTAACTTACTTATCAGCCATCACGCTACAATTTTGTTACTTTTTAAGTTTAAAAAATTACATGGATATATGCGCAATTATGAGTGTGATAAATGTTATTGTTATTACACGAAATTTAGAATAATTTTTGACATAGTTTTGTTTGCGTTGACAGAAGATTACTTTTTTATCTAGAACACGTACGCAGATTAAAAATATCATAAAAAGTTTAAACACAAACTTTTGTAACATCCGTACAAATTCAATAAAAGACAAAATTTTATGACAAAGCTAAAAATTAAATATATTAGTATAATTTAGTATGTATTAAGATGACTTATCGAAAATTATGCGTGCTATGAAGCACTATTGAAGGCGGTTGATTTAAAAATATAATGGTTACGCGTTCTTTATGAATATTTCTAATTTGTGTTCATTTTATAGTTATGATAATGATACATTAAAATAAAAGATAACAATCTGTTTTAAGCACAAGTTTTGTTTTTCATGTACGTACATAAAGCATTCATCAATAGGTTTAGGTATATATTTTAGTAATCAATATTTATTTTAACAGAGAATTAAGGCACCGAAACACAATATTAAGTGCTCAAGTAATTATAATAATTTGCTTATGAAATATTAATTTACGTTGGCGTACTGCTGTATCATCTCAATCTTGTACGAGAATTATTATTGAATAAGGTATTAAAGGTAATACTTTTATGTTTCACGAGCTTAGCGTTAAGATATCGGTATTATGATAGGTATAAGAGTGCCGTGTTTGTTTTAAGTGTACCCTAGGCTCAATAAGATTATAAACAGGAGTTGATACAAATTCGAATATAAAGTAATGTAAAGTTCGAATTTTTTAAGTTTTAATTTGATATGATTATTAACTTTTATACGAGATAAATTAGTTTGCAGAATTGTATTGTTTAAATTAAGTGAAATCTTCTTAAAAATGTAGTTTAGCTTTTGTTTATATTTTTGCACTTTTAATGCATTATTTATGCATGTTTGCTTAATTAAGACAAAAGGATCAATTATATTAGAATATGTTCATCAAGATATTTTATAATATTTATTAATTAAAAAGAAGTTTAGGTATATATCAATTAATATAAAAAAATAAAATTTAATTAAAGTAAAATGAAAAATATTTATGCAAAACTTGTGTAGAGGGTTATACGAAAACTCGCGCACTCCCACTGTTAGTTTTCGATCAGATTCGGTGCGCCTTTCTTCATGTTATTAATAAGAGCTTGCAAACTCTACCTTAGCGGTCTTTAATAATTTATACAGTCTGTTCTATTAAGTAATAATTTTATAACTTACTAATTAGCTATATATTATGTAGTATCTAATAAAATAATAATTTAATGATTATTTACTATGTTTCCCTTAACTGAGTAATAAAATAAAGTTTTAATAAAGTACTATTTTTAAATAAAATACTAATAAAGTAAAGTAAAATTTTAAATTAATAACGTGTTGCTATAAAGAAATTAAAAAACCATTTATTAAAAATGGTATGTTACTATTTTTACATAATCTTTTAAAGTCCTATAAGAAAATATTAAATAATACAATAAGCTAGCAAAGAGTATTAATCTAATTTGTAAAATACAATAAATGATTGTAATTCAGAACATTCTGTATAGCAAATCTGAATGGATAATCCTATAATAACACGGCGTGATCGACGCAGCCGGGTTCATCGCTCAATCAGCTGACGTCATTCGTGACATGCCCCGCCTAGTCGAGAGATGGCGCTACACGACCGGGACCGAAATATTGCAACTCTGTGTGTGGTTATAGTTACTTACTTTAAAAAAAATGTACCGATGTAAAACTACCGTACTATAAGGCTGCTATTCTATGGTAATAAGTTATTAGAAACTGATAATACAATAATAAAATTATTTATGTAATTTTATTAGTTTAGTAATTCTGTTAGTTTATTTACAATTTTCACGATATTTTGTAATACAATTTAAGATCTTCTAGTTATAAATTACTCAAGTTTTCCAAGAGCTCGTGATGTTTAAAATATTATTAAGGCATAGGTATTAGGTACATTCCAGCGCAAGTGTCTCATGTCCGTAAATATACATATTATATTAGTTGTTCGCTGACACAGTTAATTTATAAATTAGCTGTTAACTAGCTACTATAGCTATAACGTTAAAAATATTAATACCTTTAAGAATCGAGTAGTATTTTTTTATAAGTCGATTTCTAACATCGTTAGAAATGTTCCCCTTATATTGGGAATAAAAGTGTTTAAGTGGCTTTGGCGCAATAAGGGCTAACAAGGAATCCGTCATCACAGCTGCTAATATTTAAATTTTTCATATATCTACACTTTTAAATGTTAAGATTTCCAAAATATTAACTAAAATTATTTGATTAGGTATTATAAGTAGTGTAATTGTTTTTAGGTTCGTAATTTGCGAGATTATATAAGAATTGGAAAGTTCAATAGGTTAAACAGTTGTTAAAGTACTTAGAATGAAAACGTTTAACAAGGCAAATTATTTTCCAGTTAAGTGATAGGGTGCTCTGTGAATCGTGACAAATAAATAGTAGAGACCCCAGGTCAAATACGCATTTTAAAATCTGTAATTAACTTGGTCGTAATTTATAAACATGTCAAATAAAAACATTTTCATATTTACGTTTCTTTTTTATTTTCAACCGGCCTCAAAAATAGAGGTCCTCAATTAGATGAAAAAATAACTAGAAAAGGTTTTATATATCGTACTTCCCTTATATTACAAAGAGTGGTCAAATATTTAATATAACGATTAATCTTTGGTTTAATGTTATTTATATTAATTTTAGTGGACGTAAAGCTGAAGTGCAAAATGATTACAAATAAGATCACCTAAAATACCAGTAGAAAGAGCTACGCTAATGTTTATAGAAAACTTAAAATTTAATAAGCATAGTATTTAAATGTCTCAAAATATTTTCATGATACATAATATATTATGTCATTCCCATGTAATTTTTTTGTTTTCTATTAGCGATATCGCTTGTAGAAAGTCAACTTGTTGAATGAAGCTATTCAACTTATATCAAGTGTGAAAATTATTGAATATCTAAGTAATGTAAAAAGTATTAGCAAGCTTAAGAGGATTGTGAAGTGCCGATACGCGGCGAGAGTAGGTATTTTTAAAAATGCTATCTGTTTCATACCGCTTTGCATCCCCCCGGCAGTGAACAACACAAATACAACATACGCAAATTCTCACACACACTATGATAGCAGCAGCCGGTGACGCGCGGGCGCTTGCGGGGGGCGGGGGCGGGGGCGGCGCGACTCGGCGCAAGAGCAATTTCAAAGTTTATCTAATATTTATTATTTTAACGGTTTGCGTACAATATACATTCCCTACAAATTACATCGCACCTTTATTCATAAACTTAAATAACTCTAAATTACAATTCTGTGGCGAATATCATTTAAAATTTGACTTGTTTAGATTGATGACTTCAAAAAATCATAAAAAAATAAATAGGTGGTTTAGATCAATTACAAAAATCTCGTTCCAAAAGTTGAAAGTTATAGAATTTTTTGTTGTTTATGTAGGTACTAATAGACCCATCGGAATCCTTTTATTGTTAAAATAATTATTTTATTGAAAACCTGAAGTTTTATGATTTTATAATGTTAGCAGGTATATAAGGAATAGAAATTCATAAAATTACCTGATCATGAATGATGATGATTTACGATTTTTTAACATATCTATGACTAAATTTTATAAAATATATCAACTTAATTTTTTAAAATATATTTTTAACTAATGAATAAACAAGATTAGATTACGAATGATTTTCATTTCTTTCTGTAATTGCCCTAAAATCATTTTTTTCAGAAAAATCAATAAAATTAACTCCAAAAATTAATAAAATATCGATAATTTCGAAAAAATTATAACGAATAGTATGTGTATATATATATATATATATATATATATATATAATTATACACATACTATTCGTAATAATTTTCATAAAATTATAACGAATATTATAAATTATAACGAATATAGAATTAAAAATATAAATTTTACAAAAATAAAAGTATTTTTATTGCTCCTTCTAAACTGTAATAGTCCAGCAATTAGCAAAAGAAAGCGCGTGACCGGTGGAGGGCGAGGGGTGGAGGGGTGTAGGAAGTGGTCCTTACTCATTCAAACTTGGCCAGATGTAATGATGATGATGATATAGAAAATATTTTTATTTTTGTATGAAAATGAAAATTTAAGAAATATTTTTTTTTCTTGTTACAGAGGTTGTTGTTATGATGTAAATAGTATATTCCCAAAAGGTCTTCAGTAAATTAAAAATGACCCTGTATATATATATATATATATATATATATATATTTATATATATATATATATTTTCAGTTTTGTATTTTTTCTCAGAAATGAGATATTTTCCCGCGGTAATGCTATAATATGTTGATCCGGATAACCAGCTACCACCATACCAAATTTCATCAAAATCCCTCCAGTGGTTTTTCTGTGACGTGGTAACAGACAGACAGACATACAGACAGACAGACAAAAATTCAAAAAACTATAGATTCGGCCTCTGTATCGATAATAATGTTTATTTCAATATTATTTTCCAAAAAATATTTAATGTACAGATACGGCTTAGTTACAATCTATACATACGAGTATAATAAAATTCTAAACTTTGGATTGAATCCTTTCAGTATCGATCGATATATCGATATTACCTTCTCCTCCCTAGGAGATAATAATATCGATAGCACCTTCAACATCACTACAGTCTAAAATATGCCCCTGCCCCCGACCCGTATGGTGCGATAGAGAGAGTTGCAAGTCTTAGACTCAATTACCTACATTTCCTTTTTGAAATATTGTTTCGGGCGATAACGTTTTCACCCCCCTAAACATTAACGAAATGAGACGATTTTGGTCTCATTAGATTCAGTACACCTTAATCTAGGTCTGTACGTTTTCCTTTTTTTGTAATTCAGTTTAGTTTAATTTAAA